TTTATCTTCTTCCTGTGTGCCATAGAGCGCCATTGTTGTGCAAAACTAATAAAAACACACCAATGCAAGAAACACTCACCACATGTGGATTTATTGCAGCTGGATATAGCCGCGCACCATTTCCTTCCTCACTTTGTTAGAAAAATACTAAAATTACCAGACATATTGACTTTGGGGTAAAATGAGACTGATCCTCTAAACTCTTAAAGGGTCTCTTGTTGCCTTTTAGTTTTGTTGTGAGGAATCCAGAATGTGTCACTTTAATGTCCGCGCTTTTTGATAAACAACATGTCCTCGTTATAGACAATCCTTAATCTTCAGCTCGGTCTTCTTTGAGTTATCTTCCACTAAATTCAATTAACGTTCTGATCGCCAGAGGGCAATTCCTCATGAAGCACCAGCTATAAAACACTATCAAATCTAAAAGACAAAAGCAAACATGATGTAATAAAATATAAAAGCAAACAAAGTGTAATTCAGTATAAGGTGTAACTGAAGTCATGTTTAATGTCAGCAAAAGCCAAAGAAATAAAGAAATAACGGAGCCTTGAGGTTCTTCTTATTATAGTCAATCATAATAATAATATTGTGTAAAAAAGAATCTTGGGCCGCTTAAATAATGAATGATAGTTTGGGACATTTTTTTTACACTTTTCTTAAACTGTGCAATCAGACGTTCTCTCCACTATCCTATACTCTATACCAGGGGTGTCAAACTCAAATACACAGTGGGCCAAAATAAAAAAATCGGTACTAGTCGAGGGCCGGACAGGTTCAATGTCTATTGCAAAACTTATTGAAATGAACTTATTGCACATATTAAACCTTGGACTAACAAAGCTTAAAGTGGACCTATCATGCTATATTATAATAATATAGTGTAGGACCATACCTATATAAGGCATATTTACACTTTTTTTTTTTCAAAATACCAAACAGATCATGCATTTTAGCCATGCCTCATTTCGCTCAATTTGACATTTTTTAGCTCTGTTTTGCAAGGGGTGATTCAGTGAAAACAGCACCATCCTACAGGCCTGGCATATGTAATACAGCGTCTCCAGCGCTTTCGAACGGCAATGGCCGTGGCTGTCTCCTCCTGATTGGTGGAGT